GAAGGAGTGAAGAAATGACCGGGTGATACTGTAGTTTTGCTCGTGCTATTTTTATAAGTCAATGCCAGATTTGTTTTTCGGAGACAATTTTACTTGAATTAAATCTGTTTCTGAGTCCACTTTTTTCAGTATGATGTCGAAATTTAGCCTAAGGCTAAATCCGATTGTCAAAGACAATTTCAAGCATTTAAATTCATTCACACGCTTTGCAAAACCACGGAAACGTTTTCCAATGTTTCATAATGGTTGAGTATATCTCAGTTTTATTACCATTACGGATCAGTATAGAACTTAATAGAAATCCGGAAAGTTTTTTGTAAGCACTTTTTTGTTGGCATTTTCAAGATAATTTTTTTAACGTTTTTTGTTGTGGAGAATTTGATAGTCACGTGCCGGTACAAATCAAATTGACGTCAAGGTTTGATCCGAAGCAATTAGTCATTGATTCGATATGCAGTTATTAATGGATCAGAGCTAAATAATGGATAAAATCTTTCTGCCGACTAGCAATAAACGGAATATTATTCAAAAATTGGAATCTTTTAACTCTATCTACGATCAAAATTACCATATCCCTCATACGCAAAGTTCCGGTTGACAGGTTTACTACTGAAATTACGTATCTTCTCAATTAAATGATGAATTGTGAGTACTGAAAAATTCTTCGGTTTTCCGCATGAACGTGAACTGCACCCCTTTTGAAATATATTGCAAAAAATAAGTACGTTCAGTGAAACACACGGATAACAAAGTGTACTGACGGAATAACTATATTTAAAGAGCAGTTAACTATTTTTTTTACAACAAAAGCGATGAACGATAATTTTCAGAACATGGGTCAGCATCATTGCAAATAATTTTTTCCCCGAGTAATATTGAATAAGAAATATGCAAACGTAAGAATATATGCAACCGAATAATGTTTGTCCTTGAGTATAACTAGCTCTTGAGTGGCCTTTGACAGAAGAAGTTCATCTGTTATATATCCAATCATCCGTTTTATCCAAATTCATTTTTAACGCACTGAAGTTCACATTTGACCACTTCGTTTTGCATACCACGCGTATTCCAGCCCATCATAAGCTCATTGCTCTTTATGTTGCGATGTGAAAGCAATACGTCTATCCTTTTTCACGTATCTCACTCAAAACACAAATTCATGCATTCTTTCCTACTTTTTCTTTAAAAGACTGTCCCCGGTATTGTGAATGTTATAGTGTTAATAACACAGCGAAGTCGGTACAGAATTATATTCGCCGACGTTTCGGTTACCGTGGGTAACCTTTCTCAAGGCAGGTTTTACAATCTCTTTGTAAAACCTCTTGTAAAACCTGCCTTGAGAAAGGTTACCCACGGTAACCGAAACATCGGCGAATATAATTCTCTACCGACTTCGCTGTGTTATTAACACTATAACATTCACAATAAAACAACACATGTTGCATCCATTTTTCGATACACCCCTGAAATCCCCGGTAGTTCTCATACATATCTATTTTGGGAAATGTGTGTAAGTTGTTCTACTTTAGTTTGATTTCCTTGGCTTTATGGAGGACTCGATCTCTTTTTAGGCACCTGTTGCTCTATAAGTTCCAGATTCTGTGGTAGAAAGTTTCTCAATCTTCTGCATAGTCGGGAGAGATCATGCGAATCCAGTCCCGTTTGACCAACCCAATATACTTCACATTTGTTGATTACTGTCACCTTCTTTACGTGTGGCACTCGGCAGACAACATTCGGGATGAATGCTGTAAGATGTAGTATGCCTGCATCTACCGTAAATGAATTTTACTAGGAAGGACCTCATAACTAGGGTATCATACACATGGGTTGCTTGATACCAATTCATCACGTACCATATCCGTTAAGTATCAATTGGCGGTAAAATGAAGGGTTGGGGACCCACACTTTTATGGCGCACTGTATTGCCCAGTTACATCAAATTAGATCCAACGTCATTTATTACATAATGAAGGACTTCACGATGGAACAAATGTTGGCCATACAATTACGCAAGTTGTCTTTTGATATCGGTTTACGATGTAAATTTCAAATGAGGGGCATTCTGTAATAAATGCTCTCACGCAACGATAAGGAAAAGAAAATTCTATCAAATTTACCTCCAGTTATCTTATCCTTAGAAGTGCACCTACGAAAAGCATACACATTTATTTCCACCACAATAAAGGGCAAATTTGAAGTTGATGATGAATCCTATGATGTTAGGCTTAAATTACCCAGTGAGAGTGATTGCTTTTTTAAAAAGTAAATCAAATCTGATGAACACGGGAAGACGGGTTGCGAAAATTAACATTGGTTGATCATTTGTGATACGGCTTTTACCTGCTCTATTCGGTTTAAGACGGATTATGGATGTTGATCATGTGTACGTTCAATGACCAACTAAAAATGTGAAACAAGTGATCCATTAGGAGAAAAAGTTACTCAACCCACCCCAATCTTCCACACAGAACAGAATGAAAGGGTTATCAATCCACAAACTGACAACAATAACGCAACATTCGAAGTCGCTTAAGTGCACCTTCTACTTACCAGCACCCGTCTAAAAAACGGTCCACGCACAAAACACCTGTCGAATTTCCACCTCTGTTCTCTGTTGTTTGCCGTCATAAATCTTCTATTCATTTCATTCGCTGTCTCGGTCACGAATCGCTCTCTGATGATATGCGAGAATTACTGCGTCATATTTCTTTACGAATTCACGTCTTTTTTGCCTATTTCACAATTCTGCAGTCTTGAAGTAAGGGAGGACAGGGGCGAATTCAATGTATATGTCCTGAAAATGATTATCAATATCGGTACGCAAAGCAGGAATCCGTTAATGTCGAAAACGAACTCGAATGACTTACATCGTGGAAACTAAAAACAGATGTGAAATCATTCCTGAACCGGGGGTCCATTAAACTCTGCGATTCAGTTCACAGATAAGATACTTAATATGATCATCCACATAAAAAACAGTCAAGAACAAAACAGTGAACAATGACAGCGAATTCATCATCGTGATGCAATTCCAAAGGTTTGTGGAACGTTCCGACAGTCTGTAACTGATAAATACAAAGAAATGTTGTGTTTTCACTTTATATTGCTCTGAATGACCCTTGTCAGGTAACATAGCATGGGATATGAATAGTGAAGCACATTTTTGTAGCATTGTTGATTTAGTTGCTCAGACACAGGCCGAATGATTCTGATCTCTTATACGTCGCTAAACTGCATCTCGGATGCGAGATAACTTTTGAGTTGGTTATACACAGTCAAGAACCTCCTTTCGTAATAATATGGTATTGAACAGCTTTATGCTACTGTGTTCACTTTGCATACAGTCACAAAGCTTTACATTGGGTAATTTGTTTCGTTTACGGATGTGTTTCCCTCAGGCTGTACCAGGGTGATATTCAACACCGAAAAAGTTCAATTTGTCCTGCTGGTTCTGCTGTCACAGTTGAGTTCACCTATCCTGCCGCGAAGCTGATCATGATTCACAGGGCAATAAAATCACTTATTCGGTCAAGCATAGACAGATCCACTGATTCGGTCACCTTCAATTGCATTTATCCTTCTCAGTGTGCTTACGGTTTGTTAAAGGTTTGTTGAAGCGGTTGTCGTTAGCCGCTTAATGCCTGACCTAGGCGTGGAAAAAGGCCTTTGTGATGCGGTTGGTATTACCATGGTCATCCCCCTCCCTTTTTCTTCCCACCATCTCAGCCGTTCCCTTACATCATCGTTGACATTTCACTCTTCTCATTTCCTTGTTACGTAACATACTTACTTACCTACTACTTAATTTGAAATGGCCAGTAGTGTTAGGCAAGATGTCTGCTGCATTGGCATTTCTTTCGCATATCGTGCAAATTACAAATGGACATTATATATGTTCAAAGGCGAGATTCACACCTGTTCACAAGACAGGATTGATAAAAAATGTACATACCAGTCCACGCTTGTACGCTATTGGGGCAAAACTTTTGAAATGCAAGTTTTGCCCTGACCAAGTTTTCTTATGGTAGGTACTTCTAGTCAGTTACCCGTCGAGTCGTGGTTCTATTAGCAAGTCTAAGAACGGCAAACTCCATTTGTTTCCCTTTCAGCAGTAAACTTGATATTTTCATGCGTTCAGGTGTTGAAACAGTTCATTTATCTACCGCTCACTCTCACAAATCAGTAGACATCGTCAACATAGCGCCTATACACGGGTAATTGTTGAAGAATTGCATGCTCCTTATCCTCAAGATAACCCATGAAAATATCAGCCAATATAGGTCCTAGCGGGCTTCCGTCTACTTGTTTATAATATTTGCAACCAAATACAAATTGAACATGTGATGTGCATAAACTTAGCAAGTTCCATAATTCCGGAAGTGGTACTTTAAGATATATGTTGTTCTCGGCTGCGTAATTATAAATTATTGAAATTATTTCCTGAACAGGAACATTTGTAAACAATGATTGTGCATCAAATGATAACATTACTTTATTTTTGACGTTCATGTTGGCGATAACGGTGATGAAGTCAAAAGTATCTCGCAGACTGTGTTTGCATAGACTCGATCGCACCGTTTCAGTTATTTCCACCAACCACTGGGCGAGTCGATGGTAGGGTGAATTGATTATTGAAAATATCGATCTCACTGGGGTTCCTTGCTTGTGTGTTTTCGGCAACCGGAGTAGCCGTCCCTACTGATAGAAGTGTGTTCAGCGTCCTGTGGTCAATCACTCCCTTTTGTTTTAGGTCTTTGAGTTCCTGCGTTACCTGGCGCTCAACTTTCAACACAGCGTCGTTTTGATCAGAATCAACTTTGAATTTGGTTTCATCAGAGAGGATGTACAGCCTTTTGCTTACGTTATCCTTTCGGTTCATCACAACAACGCCAGAGCCTTGATCAGGTGGAAGAATCACTGTCATTGTTTCGTCTCAACAAATTCAATTACTTTATATGTTGTTTAGAGAGCAGGCAGGGCTGTGTAAATGGTGTATTCTAATATTGGTGTGCCAGATCGACGACTTTTGCTTTGAACCAACTTGATGCATCGGACGAAGTAGGCTGCAGACATTTGAGTTGATCGAAAAACATTCGAATTGCGTCTCCGTGTTGATCGGGTCGTTCCTTCTCGGTGGAATGCAAAATTTGACACCCATTAAAAGTGGTTCCAGCTGCATCCTAGATAGTGTCATATCTGACAGGTTAAGAACATGTTTATCCGTATTCTTTAGAAATAAGACAGTGTTTCTTCCCTCGACCAATGTTCTACTTCGTTAATTTTCTACGTCTGTTAGAATTCATTTCTGGTTGTATCTTTTTCGCATTGTTTAACCATGTTCAACTCTCTTTCCACCACGGTTAATCGTTTTCCATTACGGTACTGTTTCTTTGCTAACATTCCCCTCCTCCTCTTTCACCCATACCCAAATAACTTTAATGATGACTGGACAACCCAGTGCTTTCTGCCTGAACCCATGTAATTATGTAGATGTTCATATATGGTATTCTTATGATAAAAATGTGACCTATTTAATGTGCGTAGACAGCTGATTGAGAGCACGCGAAATTGATGACCAATAGCAGTTCTGCTCATATTGTTACTTGTTTTAGTCACAAGGGCAAATCAATCAAAATACCCTACTGTGAGAATAGTTCTGGTTGTTGTTCCATACATAGGTAATGAGAAATCAATTTTAGATGTTTAAATGCGCGATAAATCAACCCGGGCTTTCGCTTCATGCGTGGCTCGGAAATTTCTCCTATCGCTGTAAAACGTCAATATTTTGGTCAGCTCCATCGAACCAAACGGGAAATACAATATGATAATGAATAACTATTATAATAATAAGTGTTTTTACTCTCATTTATATAAATTGAGGATACGAATGTACAGTCAGTTTTTGGCAAGAGGGTCGCAGTCAGGCAAAGGTTGCAAGGAGAAATACAGAAATGGGGAAGATGAACGGCGGTGGCGGAAGTGGAACTCAGGAACTCAGGTCACTATTATGACAACCTTAACCCTAACTTGAATCAATAAACTTTCAGTTACTTGATAAATTTGTTTTCTCACTTATGCATCCACAATGGAACGGAAATGAGAACTCCGATAATTAAATTTATCAAATAAAACAACTGAAGCGATTTTTATTTCGTAGACAGCCGAAAGGATCAAGTTTATAGTATTGAAAACCTTCTGTTCACTCACGGAACTCAGCAGCCTAAACTCCGGGACTTGAAATGACACCGAAAATGCCCCGCTAGCTAGGCGAGGTATTAAACTGGATGACAGTGTAGCTGCCTATCCTCAAAGTACGGTGGCAATGGTCAGGTTCTAACCAAGGGCCCCAGGGCCGAAAGCACGCTTATGACAGCAATACAAGCCGCTTGACCACTGCCATCGACAAACTGTAGCAACTTTCAGTAAACTCCGGGTGAAATTCACTTAATCATAAAGTGCACTTGTTCAGCGAATTCCGAATCAGACAACCAGTCGTGTTAGTGAGGAGCTAAGTGCACTACTCAGAATGGCGATCATAAACAGATAACGCGAACTGGGGCACGGGCTGCAAGCGCACTGAATAGTGCAGTCAAATAAAGCCAAGACGAGCTACGGGTACAGTTAATTCTATTGGGAAGAGCAAACAAAGAAAACATCTCAGTTATCAATCAATCCAGTTAACATTCAACCACAGTGATAGCTTATTTGCAGTTGGTCTTGTAAGACTAATCGAAATTTCTACTCCTTGATGGGCTGCTTGGAAGGTATGTCGTGGTCGGTGCGTACTACCATTCAATCTCGTTACACAATCACCAACCACACCAAGTTTAATGCTGTGGTGCATTTTTGAATAGTTTTTTAACTGCGTTTAACGCAATAATGACCAAGGTATAAAAATAAACCACAATATATCGTGCCACAAACATACCTGATGCGCGAAATTAAGCTTCTGTTTCTGACTCAACTCCAGCCGGCCTGTCACTTCCTCCACCTGTTTCTTGTACACGTCCAGCTGAGAAGTCATCCGTTCAACCTGATCCTCGTAACGTTTGATAGATTCCTGGTGTCTGCAAACAAAGAAGAGTTCAGTGACCACAGGCCAAACGCAGACTGAGGTCCAGGTAGTCACTTTCTCCTTCAAGTGCGTTTTACGAATTTAAGCCAATATCGTTTCGAATATCGAGTACACAAAAATCAACTAAAATAGTGTTGAATTTCACACAGGGTTGTAATGCGGAAACAGTAGTCTTTTAGTTGTCCATTCAAGTTTATGATCCGATAGAATATTTGGATGACATCATTTACAGAGATTACCTTGTTAAGAAGGAAGGATTTTCAATTGCAAAGTGAATGCCTAGTAGTGTAAGAAACCCGTAACTCCAAACAGGAAATCAGAACACATGGGACAGTGCGCTGATTGTAACCGGCTGAACCATTAAATGAATGGTTTGTGCGAATACATCAATTAAAAGACGGCATAAACCTAGGTCAACAAAAGATTTGAAGAAACCAATCCCCTGGTTTTCATTATAGTTACTTAATTATAGAAAGCCATATGTTTTCACTCAAACACGTATTAAATGCTCACATTTATTTTCCACGAATCCCTTCTCAGGCTATTACAATGGTGTTTGTTCACTTAAACGTTTGCGAAACGAAGGGGGTAAAATCTGTCTATTTGTTGATCAGTCAGTGAATATTGAAACGGAGTTGGGGTTAGTCAGTGTCCCTGGTCTGTGCCGCGCTTTGTGGGCAACGTAGTTACACGCATGTTGACGACTCCACTGGGTGACCCGTTCAAGAGTGACGTAATCGAGTGTTGATTATGGAACTTGAATTGTTAAATTTGAGTTCCTTTTCAAGAGAGCTCGGTTTCTGATACTCATATATGTGAACTGCTTCGCTAGTTATCATTGTCTGCCGTTTGGTAATTACGATACTTGACGAAATTACTTTCAACTCGGTTAACCGTCTAATTTTCCAACCAGGGGAATAAAGTGAATTTATTCGCACTGTTCGTGCGTCTTTGATTGGATAAATATTTGTTTGGCGTCTTCTAGTACTTTCAGTGAGGAGTTACACGTTGACTCTGCTTGACAAAGAAATTCACCTTGAATAAATAAGAATGAAATTATGAGTACATTCGGTGTACTACGTGCTTCAAATGCCCCTCACGGGTTCTTCTCATACGATATGGTTTCAGTTACTATGGTGGTCACGTAAACGTTTCTGACAGTATAGTCTCAACGTCATGTGCTTTCGGACGAAAACGAAATTTTTTTAAATTCGGTGTTACCCAAAACGTGGTTTCCAGATAATTCGGATGTTCCTAAATACGTGAAATCACCTGCACTTTCTGGCTAACTGGTGATGCTTCAAGTAAGTTTATTATTTGCTATAACATATCGGTGCTTGGTAAACGCTTCAATCACCACAGAAAAGTAGTTTTCACATTATTGAACGTCGCGGGTAAGAGAATGTGTTGCACAAATGTCTGGCATACCACGCCCTGTTTGAAATCGATGTTCTAGGATAGGGAAAGCCATTCGAGGTCGATGGGCGTTTAGGGAAGAGCAGTAGAGAGCCACGTGAAGTGGCTAAGCTAGGCAAATGTTACGTGGGCATTTATCCATCCATTCCTATTGGTCGTCCAATCGGGTGATGCAGTTGTTCATGTCACACATTGATCACTTCTGTCTGTTGGTCCCTGAGCCATCTTGACCTAGTTTTAGGCCAGCGTTTGACCAGGCAATGGAGTCTCACCCCACATACATTGCGTCATTAACCCGGTTTTAATTAGCACGTTGTCTTTTATGTTCTGATTTTCTGTGTTGTGTTACAGATTTATAACCAGACTGCACATTTGTGTTGCGATCGGATGAGGGTTTTATTCAACAGCTCACTCTCTCGATCTGGGATCCAAAAGACCAAGTGACCGAAGGACACTGGAGCTTCCCGATAACTGTAGTGTTTTTGTTATCATTTTAGTGGGTAAAAGTGTTGTGATTCAGCTTTGTGCGATGGTATCAACCGGAGGTCCGTCCGATATCATTATCCGAGAGCCTAAAGAAAACTCTAAAACAGGACTGATTGGTCTGCGATCGACAAACCATTCCAGTATGAATGCCGATACAAATCTGGTTATGTGATTAAGACCAATAATCTTTCTCTGTTCTGCTAATTAAGTCCGTTGACTTCGTTCGACAAACTAATCGTCATTTTCAGGGTATTGTACATTGCCTTATCGATCACTAATGTGCAACTATTATAATACACAATCAGAACAAATGTTCCATGTTGGTTGAAAAACATTTTGTAACTCAACCTGAAGAGTCGAATTCGGAATCCAATTCAACTTGTCTCGGGTTGTGGTTGCTCATTCACCCCCCCCCCCCC